TCGTCAGCACATTCGCATTAGTAAGTGTGTTGGCCCCCTTGTTAACTAGCATGTTCAGCCCATCACTTGTAACGTTTACCAAAGCGGGTGGAAAAGCCTGCACTGTGCGTGCTGATTTGCTGGTGAACGTTTGATTTCCCACCATGACCGTTTCATTATTTAGTAAAATAACGTATGTTCCGTTGAGGACCGCGAAGTAGTTCCTCCCCTTCAATGGTCCTTGAAAGTTTGTAGTAAATATTGTTGCATCGGCGATCATTTCAACAATTACGTTGTTGTCTGGTTCAAAGTGGCATTTAGCATCCCCGCCCTTCACTAATCTAGCCAGGCATCCGTCTTCAGGAAGTTTCGTTAAAGATTTGGGTGAGCAGATTGTTGTATTGCTAATCGAAGGACAATCCTCGTTCAGTTCGAACGTTTCTTCTTCGTTTACCAGCATCTTCTTGTAATTAAGTTCAACGTGTTGTCCCCTTATGACAGCGGCGCGTGTTGTTAAAAGTCGGTAGCCATCTGGTTTGACTTTTGGTATTGATAGTACGATTAAAAGGATACTACCGTTTGAATACACGGAAGCCGATCCGTATTCTATAGCTTCGATGGTATTTTGATATGGCAGCGAATCTTCTTCTATTAAAAGTCTTTGTACCTCGTCTCGATCAAGTAAGTTTGTGTTTATGATACCAGATTTTGCCATTTGGCACGCCTGCACGATCTCTGATACCTGTTCCTTCAGGATTAGAACTTTGCTCAAGTCCAGAAGCTCCAAATTCTCTTCGCTAATATTTTTGTTTATGGCGTTGATGTGTAGCATCATTTCATTTGCTTTCTCAATCGCCTCACGGGTAACGTTGAAGAGCTTTTCATTGACACGGTACTGGTGGTTATTATTTACTACAACATCGTTCATGCTACGGTGGATGTAACCCCAATCTGCTGCATCTGGAGACCCGGCGATCCCCTTCCATGCAGATCCAATCCAGTCAATGGAACGTCTTTTTCGTGACTTACTTATTTGCAGCTCGTCAAGTCGCAGCTTAGTTTGGTTTAGGTGGAATTGCAGCACAGTACGCACAGCTTCGCTTCTGATATCGTGCTGTGTTGACTCGATCAATTTCTCCAACGCCATATTGAAGTAGTTAAGGTCGACCATATGGACCAAACTGAAGTGTCCGTTCAGAATCCAACCACGCCCACGTTCAATAGTGACCAGCGGGGAGTAGTAATTGTAAATATTAAGGCCGCAAACGCCAGATATTAAAAGTAAGCTGTCTTACCATCATGATTGAGGAAAAAAGCAAAAATGAGAATTTCTTAAATTAGCATTAGTCTGTTTCGACGCTTATTTCTCTCTTTTTATATTTTTTTCAACTTTTCTATTTCTTTCTTTCTAACTTTTATATATTTTTTTTATATTCAGGGACGGAGGAAAAAAAGCATTTTAATAAGTATAAGTAATTAAATGGTTGCATATTATCCTTTTCTTAAATAGTGGCTAGAAGTTGTTGAACTTATTTAGTAAAGGTTAGTGGGCCATATTTTAAAATTATGCTTAATTAGTTGAGAATATAGCTAGGGGTTTTTTTAAACTTATTTATCAAAAGATAATGAGCAATATCTAAAAATTATTCGATAACTAAGAAAAAGAAAAAAATTACATTTAATGAATTTTTTTCTTTTTTTGTTAGCAATATTTTTCAAAATTACCCTACAATTAAATTTTTGTTTTCCGTTGTACATCGGTATATTCTTATATGCTACTACCGTCCCCGATTCTCTAAACCACGTAAATGGAAAATCCACAGGAACCAAGGATGTTAATAGAAAAAACATTTTTGTTACAGATTTTGAGCAGTTTTGTATCTCTATTTCAAGTATGCCGTTACGAGTTACTTCCATAGGGTCCTGCGGCTTTATCAAACCTGCGGTGGAGAAGTTGGTATCAAAAAGGAAAAAAAGAAAAAATTTAGTGTTAATTTTTTCATTTTTTTTTCTTTTGGTCAGCAATATTTGCCTCTTTTTTAAGCGTTATTGTGTGTTGGCCAAGTGATTGTCCTGGCCAGCTTTTGCCTCTTTAAATTATCCTTAGTGTTCGTTTTTTTTTTATTTTTATTTTTTTTTTTGTCGACAATATTTGCTTCTTTTTGTAAGCGTTATTATGTCTTGGCTTTTGCCTCTTGTTGAGTTAGCCGTTAATGCTTTGTGTTTCGTCTGAGCCATAATAGTTTTTATAATTTTGTCTTCCGACATTCGGAAAAATCTTTATTTTGCTTTTTTATGTATTTTGCCTTTCCGTCGCGCGCTTGATTTAATTAGTTTGCTCCTTTTTAATTTTTTTATTTTTTTGACTTGGAAGTAGTTTTATCCTATTATCCTTACCAACAATTTCCTTTTTGTAAAGTGATTTCTGCTTCGCCTTTATCTGTTTATCGCTAACTTAAGCCTCATCTCCTGGCCTAAACTTCTTAGGTCTTTTCCGTTTCTTATTCAACCGGAGATTTCTTAGCTCCTGGTTTCTCTTGATTTGTTCCCTGATTTCTTTGTGAACCCTGTTTTTGAAGTCGGTCAGTCCTTGGTAGTTAATTCTTTCAGTTCTATTGAAAAATATGTCACTGGGCTTCCTTTTCGTTACAGAATGTATTGTTGTGTTGTAACGATCGACTGCAATATACACCAATTCTTTAGGTCTAACGTTATTTTTTTCTGAATGCATCGATAGATCTCAATAATGGTAGAGTGGAATTTTTCAACCTGACCATTTACCTCACTTCTTTGAACTGGAGTCTGATATAGTTCAATCCCCAGACCTCTTACCAAAGGAGTCATGAATCCCCTCTCGTTATCGGTTACTATCATTTTAGGAGTTGTAAAGTAATGGACTAGTTTAGCTAGCTTCGCGCGAATAGTGACGGATGCTTGGTTTTTTATGTGGAAAAGTTTTGCAAATTTGGAAAATTTATCTATGCAGTATAAAAATTTTTCTCCTTGAATTTCGAAGATGTCCACATGCACNTGCACAATCTCGCATGGGTATTTCGGCACCGGAGTGTCTTTTATCGGCGGTACTGGAGGATGCCTATCATATTTGTTTGCGAGGCAGGTTTCACAAATGGTGGTGAATTTTCTTATCCGGCTCGCCATTTTGGGAAAATAGTATTTTTCTAGGATTTGCTCTTTATTTTCCCTCGAGTTCTTATGAGCCCTCCTATGTTCGTACCCCTATTATCCTACAAATTCTATCTTCGTTGGCAACATCTTCGACCACCCTCTGCGTTATCCTGATTTTGTATAAAAGAAAATGTTCCAGATACACTTCTTGCAGAAGCTGTAAATGATTCTCTGGAATTTTTACTCCGTTTATAAGTGATGGGTTTAAACGTTCTTTTAAGGCCTCGGTTAAGTTGGATTTTTCAATGATATCTAAGCTGACATAGTGACAGCTAAGCTGACATAGCTGAAATGTAGGCGATGGGCCGATCTTTTCCTGGTTCTCCTTGAGACAGCACCCCACCAATGGCATAGTTTGAAGTGTCGGTAGTAAGGTTAAATGGTTTTTCGAAATCTGGGAAAGCAAGAATATCTGAGGAAACTAGTAGTTTTTTTAAATTATCGAAAGCTTGAAGGGCTTCACGGTTCAGATTAATGCGTATTCTTCTCGATTGGTTGGCCTTAACTTGCGCGTTTTCCCCCCGCGTGAGATTGGTTAACGGTTTTGCAGCTTTCGCGTAGTCTCGAATGAACTTTCGGTAATACGACGTCATTCCCAAAAAACTTTTCAGTTCTTTTAATGTTTCTGGCCGAAAGGTTCTCTATAGCCTGGACCTTCGAAGGATCCGGTTTCATCCCATCAGACGTGATCACATAAACCAGAAATTCTACCTCTGTTCTCATAAATTTAGTTTTTTCCAGATTCACTCTCAAATTAGCGCCCGCAAGCCTTTCGAATATTATTTCTAAGTTTTTTAAATGCTCATCAGTATTTTTCCCAAAAACAATAATATCATCAATATACACATAGCATATCCTCCCAATATATTCTTTAAGGACATCATCAATCTTGCGTTGGAATATAGCCAGCGCATTTTTCAATCCAAAAGGTAGTCTCAGAAATTCGTATTTTCCATTCATAGTTGAAAACGTGGTTTTGGGTATATCTGAATGCTTCATCGCAATTTGATGAAAGCCTGAGGTAAGATCAATCGTCGTGAAATATTTGGCGTTCCCTAGACTGGCCAGTGTTGTGTTAATATCTGGAATAGGATAAGCGTCTGACACGGTAACCGCATTCAAACGTTTGAAATCTACAACCATTCTATACTGCTTTTCACCGGACGGCTTAGGTTTTTTCGGAACTATCCAAATGGGAGAATTATACGGACTTTTAGATGGCCGTATGATGCCTTCCTCGAGCAATTCGGTAACCTGCTTCGCTACCTCTTCCCTCATGTTGGCGGGATATGGATAACTTTTTGTGTATATGGGCTCATCTGTAGTGGTTTTTATCTCAGCCCGAACTGAGGTTTTGATATTTGTTTTTATATTCAGTGGCCCGAACAAGTGGGAGTACTTTTCAACAAGAGACTTTAAAATAGGAACTACTGCCTTAGGAATTTCAGATGCTTCAGAAAAATTAATGCTTCCAACTGTTTTGCTTCTCAGTGGAATTTTAATGTTCGGCTCGATTGTGAGAATATGGTTTTTCCTGTCTATCACCGCACCGAGTGCCTTTAGCGTATCATCCCCTATAATGCCGTCAAAAGATTGAAGTCCTGGTAATGTGTAAAAAGTTGTCTTGGTGTCGTTCCCTACATTATGGAAACATTTTCCACAAATTTTCCTGTTTATTACTATTAGTCCTGCCACCGTCTGCACTGAGAAAGGTGGATCGACTGGTATTTATTTATTTGCCCCCGTATCTATAAGAAAGTTTAAGGCAGTACTGCTATTGGTCAGGCACGTCTGGTAAGGTATGCTTNCCCGGTCGTCAAAAAATTTACCTGCTGTGAATCGTCCTCTGTACGTTCACAGTAATTTGAAGAATCATGTCCTTCTTCAGGACTAATGGCTTCTATATTATACAATTTTTGTTGTTTTGGGAAGGCACCTTTTGATGATGTAGACCCCCTCTTAAAAGCGTTTGTGCCTGAGGGTCGGTTCATATAGTTGACCTGCCTCGTTTGGGCACTACCGTCAACTTCCATTTTCTCGACGGATTTAGAGGCAGTTGGTATGGCTGGAGCTGATGAACTCGTTCCTTGGTTGACCTGGAGCCGACTGTAAGGGGTCCTCTTATATTTCGTGTTGTGATTCCTGTTCACCCAGTTATAACTCGAGCGTGCACGTGGCGGTAGCGGTGGCCTCTGTGTTGATAAGATATTCGTTGGGACAACGACTCTGTTCATTGAGCCTGTGTGAACTATCGTATT